ACCATTTGAAAAGAAGCTTTTGTAGAAACTACACATGTTGACACGACACACCGGTCATCGCATGACTTTTTCATGAGCAAAATGATTCAGCCAGTGACAATATATAGTTTGCCAGACAATTTAAGATAAACATTTGAATACTCTCCACTCTGCATTTCTGAGATTCTACAATTTAAAAAGAAGCTTTTGTAGACACTACACATGTTGACATTAAACACCAGTCACAACCACATACAAATCATCATTGTTACCCAAGTTTTGAAACCTTCATTTGATGTGCGGCCTACAACTGCCGTACGTTCTGGGTCAAGTGTCACTTTGAGCTAATTTCCATATGATCTCCATGCACGTAGGGTCAGCATAAAATCCTGTTTTATGGTTTATGTCTATGTTAACATGGGCATCAATACTCTCTTGGTGTATTTAAATGAGGCGAAAAGAGAAACTTTCACCACCCACTAAAAAGGAAAAACTGCTGCTGTGGATGCTTCTTGCTACTTCACAAGGCTTTGACAACAAGTATCTTGTGAACTGGTCAATCCAAAAGGTACATTTAAGCAACTGAATGCAAATTAGTTTCACCAATTAAACCTCCTTCAGGCCTTCCAAACCCATTTCCATCCCAGCATATTTCACCTCTAATAACAATAGGAATCTAACAGATTTTTGCAACTATCTCACCAGACAGCAATAACCTCCTGCTTCCAGACAAAAATACTAAGTTCTCAAGTTTTCAGATGATCAAACACTCAATTTTCACTAGATTTCGTCAAAGTATTTACATCTTGACTATGAAAAGCATGATCTTTTGATTTCCTAAATTCATGCAATTCCAGTATAAATTGAGTTTACCAATCCCTTGGTAACATGACTACCTATCACAAAAGGCCCAACTAGTCCAGGGCTCAACACTAACTTTCCAACTTACTAAGTGACAACTTAAATGTACAACAATTTCAGTTTGTTTACTAGCTAAACTGGCTAATGGAAATCGAAAACCACTCGCCAAAAAACTGAATTTCTACAAGTCTGTGGCTAGTTGGCTACTGTTAGGGTCAAGCCCTGTAACCCTTTGACCCCCAAGAGGTACTGACATGTAATTCTTCCTCACAATATCATCCCTCAATCAAACATTTAAAGGACACAACAATAAGGGAAATGACAACCAACTAAAGAAACTTTTGATCGTCAAACAAATTCTCCTTGTCAGAGTGTAGAGAACAGTATCTTGAGAAAATGCAAACTGATGCTACAGTTTTTCTGAGAAGGAGGTGAATGCCATACCAACAGTTGAGAGTTACTAAGTAAAAGAAAAAAAAGGGAGTGATCCAATAAAAGGCATTTCAATTGAGAACAGTATGGAGAGTATCCATATTGACGTTACAGTGTAAAGGGTTACTTCCTTCTCCCTGTAGCTACCAGTTTGCCTATAAAGGTTGTTTAGCTCATTTACTAGCACTCAAATGTGTTCGATGAGTTAACTTGGTCAAACATGAGTCTCTATTAAATTGTTTTTTCCCTACATGCATCTAAGAGGCTTTCATCACAGTTGCTAAGAAATGCTGAGAAGTAAACAGTCCAACAATGAATCCAATCATAAAGTGATCTAAAAGACATGTCAAGTGTATTACCTTGACAACCATTTTGATTATGGTTGTTCATCAAAGTTTTCCTCTTCTATCACCAAGAGACCAACATAAAACTTTTCCAACAAGGAGGCAATGTGATTCTTAACAACCCTGTGTGCAGGTTGGTGGTGGAAGCCTTCTGTAGCATCTCCTCCAACATTTTTAAGAATGGCTTCTCCACCAGGATGAGTTGCAACATAGCTTGATACATTGTACACCTGGAGACAGAGCATACAAAGGCTGTTTGACTCTTCCACTTCCAAGATCAAAATAGAAATTCTTCTCATTATTTGCTTCATATTCCTTATAATCTTTGTTCAGAGAATTTAGTGTTCAATCAAATAAAAGCCTCCTGATTGATAATTCCTTTGTTATTTCATTACTTATATCTGCATCATATTGTATCAATATCGTCAGGAGGAATTATGTCTTGGTCACTTGTGAGAGTTAAAGGGTGGTGTTAAGTTTGTAGTTACTGCTCTGGTTTCTTATTTTGGGTTAAATGTTTTCTTTTGAAATACCTTCAGGAGCATTGCCATGTTTACAAGGAAGAGAAGACACTAAAATGACCACTTCCTGTGGAAAATTGGGGTTCAGTTTTAAGAAGACTCTGATATCTCACAGAGTTCTTTGAAAAATAGGTGACAGAAAGACTTTAGTACACCTGTCATTCAAATGCCTTCATTGCAAAAGAACTATATATTAAACAACTCAAGCCAATCAATCTTGCAAAATTTTTCCTACTGTGTTTATCCAAAAACTATACCATAGTGCACAAAGAACTCTGTGCACTCTGACAATGAAAATGCACCCTTTTTTCATTTTGGAAACTTTTTTTCAGCTTGGCATGTAATCTGAGCTTGCAACCATGTCTCCACAGTAGCTCTAAGGCCAAGATTTAGCCAAAATTCTGAGATAAAAATTCATATGAGCTAAGGATAAAACAGAGTTAGCATG